GAAAAATGCTGCTTATTGCCCATTTCCTGTTTAACCAGTCAGAGTTTGTCTTAGCTAAGTTAAACTAATCAACACTGAGAACCGCACAGCAGTTTTGTGGAGCCACTCAGAAGTACCAGTAATATTTTCAGCCCTGAAACAGTTTCGACGGGCCGGTTTAGGTCATCCTGAAACAGCCTGCAGGTTCTTGAAGTGGAGAACGGCCTGTAGTGACGACATGCAGGGACGACTGGTGCAGCTAAAGACGAACTCACTAACTCGCTACTGAGTCACATCAACTTTCAGAAATGTAATCGTTGTTCTCTACAGATGGTTTACTCATCCTCTGGCTTGTTGCTCATCCTCGCACAGCATTGTGTTGAGTATAAAGGTCGCTGGTGACGCAAAATAAAATTCTCCAACAAATAAACCTGCTGATGAGCTGAGCTGCAAATGAGATGGTAAGTTTGTGCGTTTTGCGTCACTGAATCCTGAGTCACGACTGCCTGCAAATCAGGTTTGTTTTGTGGTTTATAACGTGACAAAGTGAGTAACTGCTGATAACCTATTAGTCACTTTTTAAGTAAACTTCCTCCGTTGTGGCTCCCCGTCAGTGCTGCTGAGATCTCCTACAGCTTAAAATTGTAAGTGTGCTTCATTTGTGAGCACCAGGATTCAACAACTCTCAATCTGAGTGACTTAAGAAAATACACATGGCTGAAAATACTTTATAGGCCTTATTTCTACTATATTTAATGTTAACATATTGATTCTTTTCACTGTGAAGAAGTACATACATGTATTAACTCACTAAATGTGGGACAGGATAAGACTTTTTTCTACATGGCTATCAGTTGTTTCTTCTTAGAAGCCAGACAGAAACTAAAAATGGGTTAACAGCGAACAACTTCTCGCAAATAAATGCAGGACTTTGGCTTTAAAACAGCGAACAACAAGACAAATTATCACCAACATTTAACCGTGTGGCCGGGACGGTCACGCAGAGCTGTGAGTCAGGAAGTAATTCAGTTAGATTTAATACACACCGATTCTCAAACATTTAAACTTCTTCACTTCGTTCCACCTCTCATATCTGCAGCATAATCACATGAAGTGAACTCATCTTTACGAATGATCACTTTCTCAAAAGCTCCAGATTTTCCCCAGGGCATCAGCAGAGCACAGATCTGCTTCAGAAGTCAAACGGCCGGCCGTGACCGAGAACAGGAAGCACAAGTGTTTGTGAGCGTGTGCGGGGCCTCTGTGTAATAGCAGGTGCTGTCAGAACGATCCGCATCACATCACATAAACGAAACTGTAGAGATTTATGATGCAAGCGTCAGACACCGGCGTGTACAGGCAGATGTCTGGGCCAGACTGTGTTGTGGCTGCGTGAGACTATCTGGTTTATGTGTGTGTGTTGGGGTGTGTGTCGGTGTCTAGGATGGGAGTCTGGAATGTGGGAATCTGGAGCAATGACTTGTTAAGAAGGTCAGACTTGTACATTTGTGCAGCTCAGGACTGAGGGGCTTGAGGTGCTTATTTCAGAACTATATGTGGATGAAAATGCTTTTAGTTTGGCTTTTTGCTTTCAGTGTCTTTTTATTACCTCACCACCCTCATTATATCGTATGCCATTCATCATCTGGCTTGCATTTTGAAAGACTTAGGAAAGTGTGTGAGTAAGTCGAAGTCACACACACACTTTTCTATTAAAAGCTTTGCAAACACATGAGGGTTAATATTTTAAGGCAATGCCAGAAAATTATTATTCTCATATTCCATTTCCATTTGCACTATTCTCCTTTTATGTGTACTTTTATACTTGTTGCACTATTTTTTCTACTTATATTTATATGTACATTTTTCTGTATAGTATGCGTGTATCTCTATGTGTAACGCTGCTGACAACGATGTGAATTTCTCCACTGCGAGATAAAATAAAGGCATATCTTATCTTATCTTAAAAAACTGTACGAGAGGCATTGAAAACATATTAATGGCAAAATGTGCATTAAAAAGTTCATGTAAAAAGTGTCTGCTTACATTAAAATAATATATTTTTTACCTACACCGAGGAGAGTGAGGACAAAATTCAGATCAGTGTTTCCTATTAAAAAGGCCAGTTTATGGCACATGCTACAGATATTTTATCATTTAAATTTTTACAACCTCTACAAACTTTTTTCACACTACTCTGCTCATCAGCCCATCACTCTGCTAAATGTACCTTCCAACAACTTGTTGAAAACCTGCTCCTCTGTTTTTTGAGCCATTTTGAGTTAATAGTTTATTGATCCAGGATGTTTTAGTCTCTCTCTGGTTGTGTAAACACAGCCTGCAGTTCACCCAAAAAGAATTCCAGTCACGTGACTGTTGGATGAGTCAGACGTGGCTTCGTTGTGGCACCGAGAAGATTTCTTACTTGTTTGTTTTTAACAGAATCCGGTTACAGAAAACAGTGAATGAATTAAACATGTAGAATAATGTGAGTTTAAAAAAAATATCACAATTTTAAGCCTATTTTTCCCTTAATGAACATAATTAGTTAGAGAAGAAGAGTTTCTGTCAGTGGGTCCAGATCCTGTGGTCCTGGGTCTAATGTGTTCTTTACATTTGATTATCATAAGAGGGCTGGGAGGTCTGCTGGTTACACTGGACACACTGGAGATTTACAGTCAGAGGTTAATCCATCTGTAGCAAAGTGACATCATGCATTAAAGGAAAGCTTATTGATCTTATTGAAAGTTAAATGCATTTGAAAATTCAATCTGTAACATGTTTCATGTTTTCCTGAAGCTCAGCTTGTGTTTTTAAAATGCGTTTTGTAGAAACCTGTTTGTATTCCCACATTGTGACAGCAATGATATGTTGTCCACTTGCAGTTTTCTCCAAATGTGCTGCAATTAAGTAAATTACACCAGCTTAGGTTAAAAAAAAGAGACTGAATAGACACTCACTCTCTATTTACACTCTGTATGTTGTGCGTTTTTAACTCTGACGTTGTACTTTAGAAAGTGTTCTTGTATTCACTAGTTCAGCTCAGGTTTGCTCTCATTATGGCTGAATCATGCAAAAGAGAAGGAAAAATACGTTTATGTATATTGTCATGTGAGATTATGCTTTAATAATCAAAAACGGTCTTTCCATATCTGCAGAGTCACACAGTCTTGTGCAAATTCTTTTCTTCAATGTGTTGATGAATGAATTATGACAAATTAAACTTTATCATGTACCCAGATCGACAAATCTGGTTAAAATCTTGTGCAATAAAATATTGAAAACACGGCACCGAGAATGCAAAACAAGAACCGGAACACACCGGTGGTCTTGGGTTGGGTACAAATGTGCCAACTTTCATTTTAAGATGCGTTATTCAACAGCGCGGCGTCTCTGTGAAATACTCAGCGACTGTAATTTATCTGTCTGCACGTCTCCACTGTTAAGCAGTGGAGCACAAATGTGTGTGTGTGTGTGTGTGTGTGTGTGTGTGTGTGTGTGTGTGTGTGTGTGTGCACGTGGAGGGAAAAAAAAAGAAAGATTGAAAGATGGAATGATTAAAAGGTTCAGGGGGAAAGAAGCAAACTCCATCTGTACAGCCGTCTCAGCATGTTCCAATTATACAGCAGCTTTGAAGCGGAGTCCAGCAAAGACGGTGCTTTTGGCTCCTCCGGAGAGCAGGAGGAGACAAAGGCAAGACATCTGAAGAAGGGAAAACGGAAGGTGGCACACTGAGAGATGGAAAAGGGTCCAAGAGTAGCCATTTAATACGAGAGAGGGGGGAAGAGAGACAAAGGCTGAGAGCGAGGGAGAGGAGAGGGCCAACGAGGGCATAAACAAGTCAGAAAGTGAGAACATTGAAGCATGAAAGGTTGCAGAGAGAAGAGAGAGAAGGCAGCACGCTACAGTGAGCCCTTGTTAGAGATGATCAATCAGCTAAACTGAGCCCAGCTAACAAGCAGGGGCCTGGTCTGCAAGTTCAGTTCCTGCCCTAATAATCCGCTACAAACACACACACACACACACCAACAAACCCTGAACGCCCCGTGTGCCCTTCAATTACTCATATGGAAACCTGAAAATCAGCGACTTATTCCAACCTGCTGCACACTCTTTCTGCTCCTCATCAAAACGCAAAAACGTCGCCTGTCCGCGCAGATTTTTCATGCTTCAGAATCAAAGCAAACTCTGTGTTCGCCATCGGTGAAAGAAAAATGTGCAAATAAAATGTAAAGAAGTAGCAGAAATACTCAGCAGACGCTTTCTTTAAAAAATATCACGTGTTAAAAAGTGATAAGCATTCATTTTTTTGACTATTTCATATATTTTTTGGGGGTTGTCTTGTCTATTGCAATACATCATATGTAGTGGAATAAAAACCATAATGTCTATAAAAAGAAACAGAAGAAATAGAAGTGGAGAAAGAGCACATGTTAAGTTTTAGTTATCTGTACAATAGATATATAAACTGCATTACCAGTTGGTTATCTGAGTTGAAATCAGTGATAAAGGCTCAGAAACAGTCTGTAAAAACTTCCAAAACTGCAACTTGGTGTTTTTAAAGGTTTAACTTTTGAATGGATTAAAAAAAACACGACATAAGGAGTTAAAAAAGTAGATTTAGAGATGCAGGTATGTGGATTTTACTGTATTTCTGAGCTGCACCAACCAACCGGTGACCACAAAGACAGCTCATCTCCGCAGGACTACATCCCAAAAGTTTCCACAGTAGCTTCTGAGTAAGTCTCCTTAACTTGCTTTACTATCCTTTTATATTTTTTTCACTTTGGGTCTCAGGTCAGCTTGAAAACCTCTCACCTCAGCCACAGAAGTGCCCTGACAGTGTGAAGCGCCTCTCGGTAACAGAGCCGGTATTGTACTGCAGAGCTGTGAGCTTTCACCTACTTCCACTTTGGAGGATGTTGAGAGCAGCCGTTAGATAGAAAAAGAGAAAATCCACACGCTCACGTGAGTAATACGCACAAATATACAAAAGTCAAAGGTGAGGTTAGTAGCCCCACCTTATGGTTGAGTCCTCTTTTCCTGATTCTTTTGGCATCACTTCCTGTGGACAGCACCAGCAGGGACAGCAGCAGCAGCAGCACCAAAGAGCCCGGCATGGTCCTGCAGCCTTAACTCCAATCTCTTGCTGCTTTTTTCCCTCCTTTCTTTCCTCAGAGGTATTCCTTCTTCCTCCTCCCGTCCCGGGGTTCGACCTCTAGGTGTTTGCGGGTCCTCTGCTGCGTTGCTTTTCCAGCTGCAGCGACGGCTCTCGGGCGCTCATGTGCAGCCAGAGATTACACAAGCCCTCTCCCTCCAACAGGACCTGCCTTTATATCCGCCTGAGGAAAAAGTGCAGGGCAGAATGACAGAGTGGAGGCAAGGAAGGGGGGAAAGCACAGAGGGGATGAATGAGAGGCAGTGTGGGGACGAAACGAAAGAAGGAGAACGGCTAGGAAGGGGAAGGGAGAAAGCAGCAGTGCATCAGTGGTTGTTGGAGAGCTGAAGCTGTCTGCTGGCACGGCGAGCGCACATGTCTCCGGGTGAGGAGGGGAGGGGAGAGGGCAGTGTGTGAGAGAGAGACCTCCCCCTTTTGCCCCCTCGCTGCATCTTGCAACACGTCTGGTGATCTTTATGTAAATCTGACAGAGCTGTGTCACTGTGCGGCGGGACCATATTTCATCCTCTGTGGCTTTTTTGCTTTTACATGTTTTGCTTGTGTGCCTCTGCTCAGCATGTGGTTTGAAAGTACCGGACTGCTGTGCATTTTAACTGTTAACTGCCCAGCACACATTGTGTTCCAGATTCTTCTATCGGGACAAGAACTGTGTGACTTGTGCGATCGGGAATATGTGAATACACCTGAGCGCCTGAGTCCATGTGTGTGAATGTGTGCAGTCCTGTGTTTAGTGTGTTTTCAGTAGCACTGACTCACACACAACCAAAGCATGTGGTGTGTTTCAGGGAAAAGGGGGCCTCCCTGTCTCTTTCTCCATCTTGTGCTTCACTGCTCTTCCTTTTTTCACATATTTCCCAAGTTGCTCCCTCTCAAACTAGGACATCTCCCCTTCCTCCCTCCTCCTCCTCCACCTTACCACCAGACCTTTCCCCTCCCCTCTGCTCCGTTCTCAGTGTCTTGCTCTGAAAGGGAGAAAGAATGCTAAGCCCGCACAAATCTCAGTCATTATTAGTTTTACAGGAGCGGGGCTCATGTCACTGGGAGGCCCCGGCTTCACTTACACAAAAGGCAGAGTAAAGAGAAAGAGGGGGGAGAAAAAAAAAGAGAGAGGGAGAGCAGAAAAGGGGGGATGCAGAGATAGTGGGAGAGGGCACCGGAACAGCCAGCATGAATGAGTAAGTGTGAGAAAGGCAGAGACGTGACCACAGCTGAGGGTTCTGTTGGGTTGATATGGTGCAGATGTGCATGAAACATTTTTCACGAGGCCGTTGGCTGAACGCTCCTCCTGTCAAGCTTTCCATCCTCAGCTGAAACATAAGCAGTAAAACGCTGGATGCTGATTGACAGAATTATTTTTAAGCTGTTGCCAAGTGGGAACCTCCAGGCCTGGAAAATGAAGCCAAACTGCAGTTCCATGAATGGCCACTTGAGGCTGGCTTAGAAAAGGGACCGATTCCCTTCAGATGAATGAATAACTTCACAGCAGAAATAAACATGTTTACAGCCTGGTGAAAGAAACAGTTCTGGTCTCTCTAGCTAATTTCTCCATTTATGACGACTATACATGTGTTTAATTTTTTATATACGTCACCGGTTTTAATTGTTTCAAAACGTAAAGTTATGCATAATTAAGCATGTGGCCACTTGGACAGTCCGAGGCTCAGGAACATGTGAATGAGCTGCCTCAGCTCCACTCACACTCCATGACTTTGTTGGATGATTAGACAGTTGTGAGAAGTCAGGCACTGCCAAGATAGCATGGCCTCCACGCTGAGCTTCAAAACTGCTCTTCAGGAAACCTATGGACGACTCTGCAGAGGGTTTGCCCATCTTTGTATAAAGTCAGTGGCTGTAGCTAGCCAATTAGTCTGATTAGTTGCAAAAAAAAAACAACCACATTTTTAAGATGTTTTAGTCCAAGAAGCCTGTGTATTAAACATGCACTTAAAGGCTACATAATGCTTTGCTTAAAGACTGTGTCTGGGTGCATTTTGTATTTAGAAACAGTAGCGTTATGGTACTGTCTAATCCAATGTCTAATTCTCATGTTAGCCAACATGCTGATATAGTAGTATAACCAAGAGCAGCTTGCATGTAAATGGGAAACAAACAACAAACTATGCAATCTTCAAAGAGATTTATCGAAACAAAGTTCGTGCTAAAATCTTATGAGATGCTCTTTGGCCTTGAAGATAATTTAGTTTGGTTATTCTGTAGTTATATTTGCAGACACTAGTAGCTTCTGTTAGAGCAGAGAAACACCGTTTAATCATCCATCCATCCATTATCTGTACACCATTTAATCCTCACTAGGGTCATGGGGGGCAGAGTCTATCCCAGCTGACTCAGGGTGAAGGCAGGTCCACCTGGACAGGTAACCAGTCTATCACAGGGCTACACTTAGAGACAGACAACCAAGCACACTCACATTCACACCTACAGACAATTTACAATCACCAATTAACCTCAGCATGTTTCTGGACTGTGGGAGGAAGCCGGAGAACCTGGAGAGAACCCACGCTGCACGGGGAGAACATGGAGACTCCACGCAGAAAGATCCCGGGCGTGAACCGGCGACCTTCTAGCTGTGAGGCGACGGTGCTAACCACTGAGCCACTGTTTAATTAAGTGCTTACAATATCTAGTGCTGAATTTTCTTCTCAGTTCACTCTTGCATGCCACACAGTGATTATATTTAATTGATTCACACTAAACTAAAGATCTAAAATGCTTGTATAAAAACAGAGGGCGTACCTTGGAGTAATTCGGTACGGAGCAGTTTTTACTGATCTGAGCTGATCTCCGTTCATCACCGCTAATGTCTTTTTCTCTACAACAGATGAATAACCAACAACTGTAACAGCAATACTTTTCTTGATTCCCCTTATTGTTCAGGCCTTTCTTGGGAATGTCCTGGTACTTCACAGCCAAATACCAGCCTTTTCTTTTCTTTTTTCTTTTAGGAAATTACATGCTACAGAGGCAAAAATGTGGGTTAGATTTTCGACAGGCCTGGTCTGCTGGAGTGGAATGGAATTCAGCTGCCCGGTTTACAGCAGTCTGCTAATATTCCCACATGTGTTCTCACATACTTCATCCATATCCTGCCTACTTTCAAAATCTGGAATGTACAGTATACATTAATATGAAATAAACTAAACACTTCACGAACAGGATGTGGTGTCAAACAATCCAATCTACAGACACAAGAACGTTTGTTGTTCTAACCTAATTCATTCAACTAAACAGATGTTTTCACTCAGTGTGGACACTTGGATTCATTTGAGCTCTTACATGACAGTTAGTTATGAATGCTGTTAATTGGTATGTGTGTCAACTGTAAGACAGAAATTAGAGAGGGAGGAAGGAACACCTCAGAGATAAAGTCTACTGAAGTACAGACAGTCTGCTCAGAGACAAATTCTAGCCCAAGGACTAAATTTCCTTTCATCTGACAAGCGTTCTCTGGAGGCAAAGGCTCACTGTGGCTCTTTCTGCAGAAACGAGTGTCTGCAGGCCTCAGGAGGCTTCACATCACGTGTGCCTACTCTCTGATGGTCAAGATTAATTCCAGTCTGATTCGTGGTGTAATAGTTGGTGGCTGTCCAGAGACAGATCTGGCTCAGTGCACAGGGCACCTCCTCGGTCACAGATGATGTTTATACAAGTACAGTGAGTATGATTTTATACAAGCCAACGAGGGATATGAGTGGCAGATGTTTCATAATGAAGCCCAGCTTGTGCATCTGGATGGAATATGTGAGCTTCGACACAAGCAGGGTTTTATGCACGGTTATTTGTTGTGCTGATACTCTGTGGTTTCTGTCTGACTGAAATATTTACAAGGTGGAATATGCGCCACATATCATACATGTTTATTGCATCTCTGTCTGCCTGCAATGAGGTTGACCTGCGATTCATCATACGAGGTGTGACTGAAAAGTTCAGCGTTTGGATCTATGACAAAGAGAAACTGCTCCTTGTTTAAACGTGTCCATCAGAACCTAACAAACAGTTACCTTGTGCAGTGATGTCCTGCTCCCCGTGCTCCTGTCGAGCTCGGATCGCTCCCTGGATCCAGTTCTGTTAGCGCATTAAGCCCCATCACACTGGATCTCCTCCACTGTGTCAAAACTTCCATTTCTGTGATGAGAAAGGAGTCGCAGCCAAATCTGGCGAGTAGGGTGGATGAGGAGTAATGAATCTGTTGGTGTTGTAATCAAGCACATTGCCGTGATGGAGCACTCTGTTGACTTTGTGCCACAGTTCAGGTTTTTTGTGCCAAATTGCTTCCTCGGACGCCTCAGGATGCTGTAGCAGAACTCAGCATTGACGCTCCCGTCCTGGTGGGATGAATCTCCAACGCCGAACCCAATGAATGTCGAAGAACACTACAAGCATCCTCTTGGTGTGCTCCTGAGCTAATGGTTTTTTTTTTATTCGTGGAGGCTGCCGGCTCGTCCAGACTGCTGTTTGGTGTCTGGGTTGTAGCTGTCGGCCCAACTATCATCTTCAGTCGTGATGATAAAAATGAAGGTTGGGTCATCTCAGGCCTGTTGATGGAGATCCTCGCAGATTTCGACAAGGTGGTGGTTCTAGTCCACGGTGAAACTGCAAACGGTCACAAACATGCAGGTAAGACAGAGCATGAAGTTTATCACAAGACATTATACGACATCCTGACTGCTCTTACCTGTTGAATGCACAAACCTGTTCTTGAATCGCTGAGGATTCAGAGAATACAAAACCTTCATGTATCAGACAAACATTAAATCAGGTGTCAGTCAAAAAAGTTATGATGCATCACGGTTGCTAACGTGGGCTGTGGCGTACGGTGTGCAGTGATAATTGCATGAAGCTAATCAAGCTATTGTTTTTTTTATGTGAATGCCATGAAATCTAAATTCAGAAGGAGGATGAACCTCAGTAGATACACTCCAGCATACACCTTACTGCTACACCAGTTTAATCTGGAATAGACATAATGTGTGATGAAATGTGAATTAGAACAACAAAGGATTTTAGATTCATGATGAGTGACGAGAAAACACAAGTAATGACTTCATCCTCTACCTTGTTTCCTCATCTGTGAATTTAAGAGGAACATTTTGTGACCTCAAACAAATAGCGCTGCCAGCGTAGCCAAGCACGAGCTAACATTCATCATCATGTTTATCGGTTACTCTGTTGGGCCGCTCTTGTGTCGGAGTGCTGAAGCCTGAACCAGAAGCTCGTCAGAGTCATTCGCTCCAAATCAGGGCTGTCAGCTGAGGTCAGAGGTCAGCGTAAGGGGTCAGGGGTCAGCTGTGATTGGTCTGAACTCGGCTGCTGGATCTGAACAGGAGCCAAAGTCGCACTTGCATAGGCTCCAACCTCAATACCTACATTCATGTAACATACTGATGCAGTTCTAAAGCATCAGTTTAGAGACTCACGCTGCCTCTGTACTCTTTATAATCTGATTTCCTCCTGCTCTGTTTAGGCCTAGTGAGGGAGGAGACACATCACCACAGCTCTTGTTCCACTAGTACCGAGCAAAGGACAAGTTATAATAGCACTCTGACTCACGCAGTTCATTCAAAACCAATTTTCTCCTGCTGACATTCTGTATATCAGAAGCTATAAAAGTCTGCTTCGGTCTCTTTTACTGTCTCACATTTTTAAAAGTTCAGCGAGCATCAGCTCCGTCCCAGAATTAGGTTTTAATGCGCCTCTGACAGAATGTGAACCCGAAGCGGCCGGTTGGGAGCAGTTATCTCTGACTGTCTGACTGGCTTTTTAAAAAATTTATAGCTAGCATGTGTGTTTGTTTTGTATTTGCAGTTTGTAATGAAACAGAAAACAGACGCACGTACAGTATGGAGGCATGCAAAAAAAAATAAAAAACAAGATTATGTTGATGATTTATCTGACTATAAAGAGACCAGGGAAGTAGGATGCTGTCACCTCCAATTTATTAGTCCATCAACCGGATACATCAGCGCATGAATGGAAAACTTTCCACTCCGGTGATATAATAAGATAACGTTTCTCTGCATGTGCACGATGCTAAAACACACACTTCTCAGGTCTGACACATGGGATATTGTTTCATCTGTGTGCCTTTAACCGCCTTTTGAAATGTCTGAGCGATACGGCGACGCAGCGGCCTTGATGAGTTAAAGCGGTGCAGCTGTTTAAAACATGCGGGTTGGCACAGGCCGATGGAAAAATAGGAGATGAAGAAGATCAAGGTGGTAAAAGGAAGAGGGCGGAGGGCCGAGCTGCAGATTAAAGGAGAGGAGGGATTTGTGATTGACAACAGACAAAAAGCCACGAACACAGACTAAACAGTGATCAGACTTCTTTTTTCGTCTCACTAGCTAACTTTAAAATCACTGTACCGAAGCTTTTGTTGGCGAAAACTGATGTTGAACTTGGACAGGGAGCTGAATAAGAACTCACAAAATCAATCTCGACACATACTTGGAACCTCTTTGCTGGTGCTATTTGATTATACTCTGGGAAACAACCCAGAAACACAAATATTTTTCAGAATCAACCCTCTTTGTGACATCCCAGATCAGCAGCGAGCTCACAAAACATCTCATGTTTGAAGCAGTTGAAATGTTTTAGGGTTCAGTTCTGGGGGCGGCCAGCGGGTCTGATCACTGGCTGTTCACATGAGGCCGGATTAATCACTTGTCATTATCAGTATGTCTTTCTTTTCTAATCAGAGAGGAAGCTTGAGCCTTGCCTGCTGCTTCCCCTTCATGACTATTTCATCCCCGTATCATTATCCTTTGTCCTCTAATGGCTCCAACCAGCACAAAGTCTGACTGTGCTCAGCTTCCTCTGAGGGTTTCCCCCTTAGTAATTGCTTCTTTTCTGTCATTCACCTTCTCTTTCTTCAGATTCCTTGGAGCTTTTTTCCTTTTTCTACCTCTTACCTCTCCTCAAGTTGTTTCCCAGCTTTGTCCAAACTGGTCTCTCCTCGTTTCTCCCCTCGCTTTCTTCTTCTTCTCACCTCCTCCTGCTCCTGAAAACTTTGAACTCAGGTAGTTTTTCAGCATTCCTCAACATGACCCCGAGCTTTGGGGTAAAAAAAAAGAAGAGAGAAATCTATTTCAGCTGTTCCTATAGCGACCCTCAGCCCAGGGGTTCCAGCGTGGGGTCAAAGCGACTGGGAGGCGCCTCAGTAAGTCCCGTCAGACTTCAAAGAACTTCCTGTGTTTCCTGCTTTATTGGAGTTGATGTTGAAAGGGGTCAAACTTAAACTGCCTCATATCCCTTCTGCTCCACTCTCTCAGTGGGCAGCGGTCCAGGTGAAAACGGACTTTATCTCACGGCCTCTTCCCACCAGATCTTTGCCCTCTCTGTGGATGAAAACACAACACAGTTAATGAGACAAATTGCTCTCGTTTCAAAGGTCCACGTCGCTAAAGAAGCTACAGAGTGAGCTGGAGTGATCCTGCTAGGGACTGTAACTAAAATAAGGGTGCATGTAAACTTCAATTTAATTAAGTTATTTAAATAAAGCAAACACCGTCCCCTTGTCTTGACCTCTGATATCTAAAACTCACACATTTACAGCACATGGGACAAATATTTAAACTCCTCACTAGCAGTCTTAAGCACCTCAATATACCTATTATTTTATATGAAGTAGATTATAAGCTGCTGTCGCCTGATACGTGAAACCAGATGACTGACTGTCCATCACAAGTCATGAGTTACACGCTTGGTTGGATGTGTTCCTGATATTAAATGTCGTTAAATGTCTCTCTCTCTGCTGCTGCTAAACTCTGGCTTTGAAAATGGCCACGCGGTCCCATAACACTTTGGGGAACAAGTGGAGTGACGGCGAAGGACAAGCCAAACTAATTTAAGTTTCAACCTTTTGTTGTTGACTGACAACCGTGTGCATGGCAGGGCTGGAGTGTCCAGCTGATTGGATGGTTAATATGCTCCTGTTTGACTAAGTTCTCATTGGTTGGACAACTGTTGTATGAAAAAAAATCAATATATTATTAATAAATCCATTATAGCAGCAGGAGGAACTGACTACCTGTTAACTGCCAACTTTAAACTCATTAATGGAGATTGCTGGTCTAGCCTAATTAACATGTATGTTTACGTGACGTTTATTCCAAACTAACGTCAAAGATGTTGTTAGCATTTGGTCAAAAAGGGTTTGCATATCACCCTGACTACTTTATTTTGGTTCACAAATGTTCTGCGAAGTTCTAGCAACGGTTTCAGCTCTAAGTTTACTTTTAGTTCCCAGAATAGTTCAAAATAAATGTACCGTTGTGAGTGTTTCATGGAGGAAAACTCTAATGTGTTGCCTCAGAAACATCCTGGAAATACTGCAGGAAAAGTTCTCTACCTTTGTTCATATATCAAATTACAGGAACAGGTCATGAAAATAAAGAGTCTGTTATCTGAGGCCTAAATAATACCTTGAAAACTATTTTTTAATTTGAGAGTGTCTCTTCTTTTGTTGTCATGTAGAAACAGCCTTAAAATATTCATGAGATTATAATGTTGCCTTTAAAACACTACCAGAACTTGTAGGTAATGTTGTAGGAACGTTTCCTGCTCAACAACCGACACCATCTAAAAACCGTCGACTAACAAGCTCTGTGTTATTTTCCTCAGCAGTTCTTGTTCTAAACTCATGAGGTAATCATTATATTTTTATAACTGCTCTGTTTTTAATCTGTTGATATTATTTCAGTATAAAAAAACTGGGTTAAAATGGTTTGATAAGCTGCAAGTACCAGCTTTTTATATTTATTTATGATTGATTTAATCTTATAGGTCGATCAGGCAGAGATCACATAGCGTACTGTGGCTGGTTTAGTTCATCTAACGATAACTTTCAGAGGTTTTTTCCCTCCCTGCGGCCAAATCGATGGTTAAGGAGTAGGATTGACCGGGATTTTCCCTGGTTGACTCCGGTCCTAACATATGACCTGGTGATCACTGGGCTTTGTGCAAATAAAATCTATAAAATACAACCATTACAATCTAATTCTGATGTTGTTAACTCACTAAAATGTACATTACTGAAATAAATTCCTCCTTACAGCTAAAACTAAAAGCTACATCCCCTCCTCCCTTCTAATAATTTGACCACAGTCCCTCACACATACTGTCCAAGTTCAATCGTGAAGTTCATTTCTTAAATCATAGATAATATATTTAAGGATTAAGGAAGTTCTATTTCACATAAAAACACTGTGTGGCTGCACTTTCCTGTTTTGTTTATTGCTCAGTCAGACATGTTATTCCTTTTAGGTGAAGTCCAGACGGTTTACGAGTCCAACAAAGCCGGCGTGCAGTTAAAAGATCAAAACCTCCCATGTTTCAAGTAACCCAACAGTTTTCCTTTTGCTCCACTTAAACCAGCAGCATCCGTCTTTCTGATAACAGGCGGCCTGTTGGTCGTCTTGGCAGTCGAGGATCACCGTGGGTTTGCGTCTGAGAGTTTGTGTAAATGTGTGTGTTTGGTTTTCATGTAGCGCTTCCATGCAACATGGATTACGTCTCCGTTCCTGTCTGGCAGATCAAACGCTGGCGGTACTTTGCGACTCTTGTTGTGGTAAGTTTTCTTTTCTGCAGCCTTTTGTCATTGGGGTGTGCGAGTGTGTATATCTTGTGTCTTGTGGTGTGTGTGTGGGTGTATTCCACTGTGGGCGCTGTTTGTAAACCTCCCTTTGGAGTTTGTTGTTGCAGGTTTATGGAGAGTGATATGTTTATTTATGCCGGTTACTGTATATTTGCATTATTCTAGGTTCGAGATGTTTATCTGGTGCCTCTTGTTGGTTTGGGGTTATGGAAGCTGGTTTTCATGATGGTTGCAAATATTCTGCAGCAGAGGAGGAAAAGGAAAAGAAAAAAAAAAGCTTTTCTCACTGGATCTCAGGCTGCACTCATTCTTTAAATTGTTTACAACTTGTTTTGTTGCTTTTAAGATTGCTTTCAGGCTGGTTAAAACTTGTTTGCACGTAAAAGAGATGCAGTTTGTTTAGTTTCCAAACACTGAACCAGAAAAAAACTTACTGTGATGTCGTTGTCTGGCTGATATCTGTCCATTTTTACAATCTGTAATTTCTCTCTGAAGTCAAATATCCTCATATATCTGCATTTTTCAGCTCAGTCTTTCAGCTTGAAGTGCAATACCTGTAGCTTCTCACTGGAGGGAGCCAGAGTCACATTTTAACTTTGCAACCCAACATCCATCCACGCATGACGCAGACACAGCACAGGAGGAAATCATTCAACAACAAAAGAGTTTCTTTATGACAACAGATAGAAAACAGATGCTTTTGCTTTTTAAAAAAAATCAACTTATAAACCTGAAGGCTGAACTTTAAGGCTCTATAACTGCAGCGTAGTGACATAAAGTGACGTATCTGCAGGAAAGTGGCCGAACGTTACTGTAGTTTAATGCATTACAGAAAGTGAGCTCTTTCTCCAGTCAGCTTGAGGGACTGGACCAAAATTACTGATAGTAAGGAGGAGGGATGAACAAATCAGCCACAACATTAAAAACCATTTGTGTGTTATTGTGTAGGTCCCCCTTGTGCCACCAGAACAGTTTAACCTCTCGGGGTGCGTTAGATGTCGTGCTGGGGGAAGCTGCCGCCATCAGGGAGTGCTTCACATGCACACGATACCAGGACCCAAGATTCCCCAGCAGAACACTGGACCATAATAAGGTTTATAATGTCATACAGTTCACCTGCCAGTGGTTTTTGTGCTGTGGCTGATTACCAATTTGTCCAACAATAAAGCATTTTCAAATCCCCCCCTTGACTGAAAATGTGCCTGGATTTCACTCTGAGGTGCATCTGAATGAAAGAGCTGCTTCAAAGACTTCATACCAATCACGTAATTACTTTCCTAAAGATGCCATAGATATGAAGACGGGTGACAAATTAAAGGAAACCCTCGACCTCTACAGTGACGGGAACTGTTCTGCTGACACGGTTTGGGTCCAGTTGTCCCCTAAGTTGCAAATCAATACCAAACTGTTTTGAGTGACAGGATGAAAGATTTCTATCCTTACGGGGGAGGTTTCTTTCACACTGACAGTTCCCCCATCCACAGGATTCACTGAACCGTTTGATGAAGAAGATGTGAATAATGTGTTTTGGCCTTCGCAGTCATCAGATCTCATTCCAGTGGAACATCTATCGATATGTTAGAAGTTGCTCTTTATGAGAATACATTTTGGTCCAACAGAGTTCTTAAGACTTGGAGATTGAAGCCGAGGCGCGTTGAAGCTGTTCCGGTGGTACGTCGTTGGCCAACACGTAACTAAGACATTTTATTTTGGTTTTTATTTTCATTTGTCACCCACCTATAGCTACAAACAGCCCCCTCTCGATGCCGCAGATGACTTATTTGGACTGAAAACTCAACTGTCCTTGCCTTTCTCCATTTTTTTCTACAGTAACCTTTAGATCCAGATTCATCAACAACAGAAGAACACACACTAATGTTCATGTCATGTCCTGCTCCAGCTCTTTATCCATGCTCACGTCGTGGTTCTTGGCGTCTGTGCTCCGGCCCCTTCGGTTCATCTGGTGGAGGAGGAGCAGGAACAAAGCAGAGACGATGAGAGCCACGCCAGCCATGAGGAAGCCCGTCCCGTAGTCGCTCATCTTGTCAATGAAGAATCCTGGAAAGGACGGTAAGTGTCAGCGATCTGCAGATTCTTGACAGTCAGCATCAGAACTCTAAGATTGGACCGCGTGAAGATCGAGTTCATCCCGAGGTAATAATGTCAGGGAAGGAAACATAATTAGAATACTTTGCTCAACATCCAACAACTCTCTGGTCTTCAAAGGAGTCGAAGTGCTCTAAGAACAGTCGAGTAAATAAGTTGGAAATAGCCTCGGTGTCAGAGGAACCATGTTACGCTAAAAATAGGACACCAGCGGCTGTATTTATAGCTACTTCACATCAATTACCATTAATTTCATTGAGGGTCAGTTTCAGTTTACTTTAATTTAACAGCTTTTTAAGGAGGTTGTTAAACAGAGAACACCGGAATAGATAGATAGATAGATAGATAGATAGATAGATAGATAGATAGATAGATAGATAGATAGATAGATAGATAGAAAATGTATAGATGGATGGTTTAAAATAAGACATTTAGAATAAGATAAGATCGAACTCTCAAGTTAAAGTTGGGGGAAGAAAAAAGACTATCTGCCAAAGGGGAGTCTGACTTCTGTAGGACTTACACTGTGGGAAATATAAGACTGCCAGCCTGTCATGCCTCAGTAGCTCCAAATGTTCTCATTCCCTGTTTTTTTTTTTTTCCTACTGTCCTCTTAAAAATCCATAAATACCATTACACGAACCATCCAAACTACAATTATGCGAATATGTTTAGTTTTCCACTCTGGTGGAGAGGCTGCCCCCAGCTGATTTAATGCTGGATGTGCGGGACACTTCCTGGCAGGGCTGCCTCTGCCTGGGTGCCAAGTCAGCCTGGGTGTTTTTCTGGCTCTATTTACTGCTATTGTTTAGAGTCGTGTTTGAATGTGGGTCACAACCTCAGTAATCGGGTTCAAATGCTCGCTGGTTCAAAAGATAGGGCTGTAAGTGTTGGACTGCACGGAGAGAAAGAGAAGAAAATAAGATTTGATTGTGCTGGCTGTGGGTGCCGGGGGCAGTTTACTGCAATTTTAGTTTAACAGCTGCCTAAGTAGGTTTTTCATTTTTTCCACAATAGAATAAAGAAGATAATTCAAACAGATTGCCAGTGTAGCTGACATATCTGGGATGCTTTCAGGCCACAAAAACGCATCCGGTTCCTCTGAAATGTATTGGAGAGACACAATACATTAAGGACACCTACATTTCTAATTAAGTGCATAGATAAGGGAATGATTTACTGCCTTTAATTTCCTTTTTATGCTATAAAAGACGAAATATAAATTATGAAAAGCAGACAAGATGGATTTTAAACTTCATGAGAAGCGAGATATGAATATTTATGCCATACCCCACATCAGGAATATATTCATAATATTTCATATATTTTCCTGATCTCTTATATATCTCTCCATAACCTAAAGCTTTATGCTAAACAGAAACCACACGAGGAAGTGAAAGTGGTCCCTTATAGCGATGAATGCACAAAGAGCTTGACTCTGCAGTATTTCAGCTTCTTTTGCGTCTGGTTTTCTGTCTTTAATATTTAGTTTTTGGACCCATCAGTTGACTGTTTTAGCAAAAAAGCTCTAAAAACAGTATAACACCAAACTGCAAATACAGACCGGCACAGTGGAGCACTTAGCGGCTAAAGAGGTGGAGACCAAAACAGAGCTAAAAGAAGTCTTTATGAGGATACAAACCCAAATCCAAATGAATGCTAACATCACTTTAGAGCAGCTGCATGTGAAATATCTGCGCTGTAACTCAATCTGTTTATTCCAAGTGAGAAAACCAGTTATTGCATGTTTACAAAGGTTTGCCGGTTCTAAAACCTTTTGGCTCTCTCGCCTAAACGCCTTCGCCGTTATGTCGCCACAGCCGACATTCTGTAGGACACGGTGTATGAAAATGTCACATAATGAGAAGTCGGTGAAGAAGAAATTCCATTTAACAGGGGGGAGAAAAAAAAGGTTATTTGGAAAGTGGTGAGCCGTGAAATTAACACAACCATAAAGCATCATGATATTCTAATTTTTGCCCGGATGCTCTCTGAATATCAAACTTTAGGAGGATTGACAAAAATCCATTATTAATTTAAGGTTGGCGCTGCATATCAGGAAGGTATAAAAATCTCATTTTGTGTGAATGAGGCTCGCTGGGCTGCTGCAGAATGATGTATAAGCACATCCATTGTGTGATGTCTAATGTGCTGGAAGAACAGGACGAGGAAAACCGCAAACGACACTGTAACCTTGCGATTTTTCTAAAGCTTTTCAAAGCGACGTATTAACATACAATAAATAGCATAATTACACTCAATTCTAATGAATTCTTTTCACTCCTCTGCAACATCTTGTTTAATTCTACCTTGCAGTCACCACGGTGGAATGAATCATCGGGAAACGTGCAGCAGAAAGTAGCTGAAGTTAAATCCTTTTTGATATGCACTTTGTTTTGATGTGTGGACTATCAAAGCTCACCAGCGATGGGCGGCCCGAGCAGGCCTCCGCTGCTGCGTATCAGCATGAAAAACCCCAGCGCGCTCCCGAGCCTCTGGATGCTCACGACCTCGGCCAGCACGGTGATGTGGATGGACACCGTTGCGCCGTACACCAGACCGTAAGCGGCGCTGAAGACAGCCAGCTCTGTGAAGGAGGAGGCCAGCGGGCACAGGAGGATCACCGTACCGAGCAGGATCACCGTCGCCGTCAGCTGCTGCACCTGGTTGGAGCAGAGAAAGGAATCAGATGGTGCATCAGATGATGGTTCCATACCTTCACACACTGGTCTTGTGCATTCTTTGAGAAGACTGATACTGATAAATATTAGAATAGAGCCACCTGCTGGTTAGCTTAGCTTAGCATAGACCAGGGGTGTCCAATCCTGGTCCTCGAGAGCCCCTATCCAGCATGTTTTAGATGTTTCCCTCTTCCAACACACCTGATTCAAATGATCAGGATTGTTATCTGGCTTCTGCAGAGCTTGATGATGAGCTGATCATTTGAATCAGGTGTGATAGGGGCTCTCGAGGACCAGGATTGGGCACCCCTGGCATAGACCAAAGACTAGACCTGGGGACAAATAACCTGCAATCAACTCAGTCACTTTTCTAAGCAGACAGTAGACAACAACAGCCGCTTGTGCTGTGGATTATTTTTGGGAATCTTGTCATTACCAGACAACCAATCTTCAGGAACTTGCTGCTACCCGCTAAAAGTCGTCCAGTACGCAACATCATGCAACCGTCATCACACCAGCATTAAATTCATAATATGAAAACCATGACAAAACTATTTCTACAAAAAAAGGACAGCTAAAAGTTAAAAATGTGCCAAAGTCTTTCACATTTTCCATCCAAAAATTAAAGGTAAATGCTACAATGATTAAAGCTTCCTCTGCCACCAATATTAAAGTATCTGTCACACAACATGCAGTAGTGCTATGTCGCTCTCAGAAATGTGTCACTTCCTTTTCCATCAAATCATTTTCATTAATTATTCCTGCTCTTAACGTACCGTCTCCACCAGTCTCAGGTTGGCCACCCATCCAAAGAACACTCTTCCAAACAGGTCCAACACAGCCGAGATGGACATCAGAGCAGCAGCCTGGTACTCCTCGATGCCCTTACTGCGAGCGTACGGAACCAGGAACAGAGCCGGAGCGAAGAAACCCAGAGCGGCAAACACCCCAAACATAGAGTAGACCATGAACCGAGCATTTGTGATGAGGGTGTAATCTACGTAGCGGAGGATTTTGGCCTTTAGCTCTGCCCTCTTAGCTGCTGAGTCTTTGGTGGACTTAGGTTTCTCCTCAGTCTCTTCAACTGTCTGTTGATCATCCCCCTCGTGTGATTTCACGTCTTTCTCTCCTTCGCGGCCTGGCTTGAGCTCATCCTCCTGTGGGAGCAGTTCCAGGGACAAGCCTTCCTCCTCGGCTTTGACCTCGCTGACACGGCGAACATCTCCGGCGGCTTTTAGGGGCCTCAGCAGCATCCCGCACACACACAGGTTGAGCTGCAGACCCGCGAGAATCAGCAAAGCTCCCCTCCAGGAGAAGCTGTCGATCAGCAGCTGGAACAGGGGTGTGAGGACAAAGGTGAGAATGCACTCTCCAGAGCTGGATAAGGCGTTTGCCATCGGGCGCCTTTTCTCAAAGTAAAGGCCCAACATGGTCACTGTGGGGGTCCAGGTTAATGCGTAACCGAAACCTGCAGCAAAGACAACAGTAAAACCATCTTTTCTTTTTGGGTTTGCTTCGTGTGTGTGCCTGTTTGCATCAAACCACTTACCATTTAGGAAGCCGACTGTTAGGTAGAGCTCAGTGATGTTACGAGCAAAAGCCCCCAACGCAACTCCCAGACTGCATATCAGTCCACCCATCATCACGACGGTGCGATGGCTGTAGCGAGCGCTGAGCGCGGATGCTAACGGTGCTGCAGACGACATGGACACATGATCTGATCAGCATGTATACAATCAAATAAATGGATTTAGGGAAAGAGAAATGCTGTATAATGTATATTGACGCACTTGATTTGGATTTGATGCATAAATAAAGATGTCTCAGTTAAATATAGATACTAAACTCTGAGAGGTTTCCAACATTATCCTAGTGCCACTTGTTATCTCAGTCTAGATATTTGACCTTCAGGATACTTGGATTTTATGAACAAGGTGGTTCAGTTCACTCAGCACGAGAAAGCACCTCAAGTGGGGGTTTAAGATGTTAGAGAGCGCCCCCTGGTGGTCAAGAGGTGTGTGTTTGTACTGAGTCGTGAAGGATTTGACATTTAAAAAGTGTGGAGGACTTTTTTAAATAATTGAAGCTATGAAACATATTCTGAAGTCCTACACTGGCATTAGAAAGACCTGAAGTGAAACAGAAAGTGGTGATAGTTACCCACAATGTGGATAGTGGCCACAGCGATAGACGTGATCCACGATGTTCCTGTCGCCGTGGTTTCAAAGTACCGCTGTATCTCAACATAGAACACACCGAAGGCCTTAACGACCCCAAAGGTCAGACCGAAGACGAGGAAGCAGGAGAGCAGGATGAACCAGGCGTAGCCGCCGTCGGGGGCTGCAGGCGGCGCCGCGACCGGCCTTCTGCTCCGAGCCTTCACCGGAGAGTCCATGCTGAGGCGCACTGGGTTCTGCAACACTCAGATATCTGCACAGAATCAAAAGGATGTTGCTGTTTGTTATCTCAGCAATTAGCAAATCTGGTAACCAAGAAGTTAATTTCTTCTGACCTTGAGGGTCTGACATTTACAAATGTGATGTGAAAAGAAAGGTTCATTTAAGTTGGAGGTTTGTCAGTGACTCCCCGTTCATAATAGTTGAGGTTGAGTCATTTAGCGTGTTTTAAAATAAGGTTCTTTGGAATCAGATCAATCTTAATGATAATTTAGACAACAATGTTCTTGTAGCAGCTTCAGGACGGCTCCTTTCTGTTTCAACGTACCAGTGATCCCCGTGCTGAAACACAGAATGGTTTTCCAGACTGTTTTGGGAGAATGTGAGTGACGTCACCCTGATTTCAGCCCTTTGGGGGGGTTCCAATATGACGGACAGTTTCTGTAATCTTGTGGGAAGCATCTCCAGGTCGTGGTCAGTACAGCAGCACGTCGACGCTCACGTGAAACTCAACCAGGAAGTTTAACGTCCACATACTTTTGTCAGAGTAGTACAAGAATTAGCAGCTGCTTTTTGCTCCATTAACTTGTGTTCCCAGGTTCATGGTTCAGCTAAAACTGGTAGTTATCTAATCAGTGTACCAAACCATATTGGCTAATCCTTACGCTGCACTTCTTCTGCATAATGCTGATGGTGCAACTTCATTCATAAGAGGTACACACATTATAAAGCAGTGCTTTTAACAATCTATTGACCATCATGCATAACTTGTTCTTTGGGGAACGTCTGTGTGTCCAGAGAACTAGAATCTAGAGGGAGGGTTGGATTATTCTTTATCTGTTGCAGGGTCTTTTTCTGAGAACCATAACTGACTCTCTCTCTAATGCCACGACCCAAACATCAAACAGTGATCAGCAAACAATATTAATCATTCTGCCTCTAAGCTTGTTTCAGTTTCCAGGTATTTCAGGTACATTTTCTTATAAATCTCAATGAATGGCTTTGAAGTTTCCAAGTTGAGGCCGTCGTTATTTAAGCAGAGTAAATCATTCACTGCTGACCAAAGGTCCTTCTGGGACACCGCGTACGCAAACGCATTTTTTCACAGTGGTGATCTAAATTATTTTTTCTGTTGTTCTCGGTCTATGTTTAATGCACGTCTGGGAAACTGGCTGTTAGCGTTTTAACACTCGTTTATTTAGCCCTCCTGTTACCGTCAGATTTACTGACATCTTTCATCCTTGGGTTCAGTTTGACTGCAGCGATTTAAACCTCCAGAAAATATCACAATTAAAATCGTTACCCAAGTTTATGTGTAAATAGCCCTTTAAATAAAACTAAAAATGATATCAATGACTTATTTAGAGATGTTAAATACTGAATGAACCCAAAGACAACAGGAGGGTTGAGCTAATACACATTTAAAATGTTCCACTGTGAGATATTTGTCATCTCTTCGGACCACAGTCAGTGCAAGCAGATCAGATTTATCATGCATGACAGGATTTAGCTGATGGAAAATATTATCATCATAATAATGAAACTTCATGGAGAGCATGCAGACCGGTTTACAAAGGCCTGTCCGGCATTTTCATTATGCAGATTACCCACCTTCTGTATGATCTGACTGAACCCAGATGAGGGTCATGACTCCAAAAGCTCAACGTGGAATAACAGCAGAAGTTCACAATAAGACCCACAGACGCTACACAGGACGTATAATCATGCGTCTACTTCACCTGCTGAGATCAAGTGGAAGCCATCATGCCCGTCCTGCAGGCCCGTCTCCAGGTTTTCGGTGAGGTTTCATAAGCCTCCAGCGGCTCGCCACGTGCCGCGCTGGTGATAGTGCCGCTGTCACTCCAACTCAGCAAAAGATGTAACATGTCTGGCAGGCAGCTCTCAGCGGTTTCAGGTTATGAGGCACCGAGAGGTCAAAAAAAAACAACAGAGAGCGTGTTAGCAGAAGAAAGGCAGAGGAGGCAGAATTTAAAGACAGCTGAGGGCTGGAAAGTAAAACATTGACGGTGACATGTGAGCGGCTCACCTGGACTGACCTTTGTAACCTATTTCCTCTGGTTTCCTCAGCGTGTTGACATGTTGAGGACAAAGACACGCGCAGGGCAAAGTCTTATGTAACCTTTTTTTATCAGCAGTTTATGATGCTTGTGTGGTTCAGAGTCAAGGCCGAGACACAAAAAGCTGAACGCTTGTATTTGAATCCATCAGTCCAGGAAGTTATGAGCTAGGAAAAAAAAAAGGTAAATGGAAGCTGAAAGATATCGCCGGCAAAACAAACTGCCTCTGACAGATCTTAAAATGAGATCTGAAATATTGTCTTTCTTTCCAACATGAAATATTAATGACTAGAAAACAACAAACAGAGTTAAGTTTGAGAACAAAAACGTCCTCGGTTAATATTTATCAACAGTTTGACAAATCTGCTGATGTGGTTTACTGCGGCCTGCATTAGCTGGTTAGTCTGGCAGCATTTCCTGCTCAGAGGAAGTCAGAACCAATTGTTCCACCCGATGTCCTGTCACTTCCTATAAGAGTCTGAACCCAACATCATGTGCTGCTATTTGATTTTATAAAATTACAGACAGATCTGACGGACGGACGTGTGATAAACGCCCGCATGGGGATCAAACCACAGGCTCGGAGAACCGCGACAATGCAGAGGGCGAGTTAAACACAGCGGGGCCGCTCGGCGAGTCCTTTCATAAGTGATGAGCTTTTCTCGTGCTCACATCTCCGCTGCTGCCTCCCAGACAGCAAACACGACTCCTCTGATGATCAGCGCGTCGCACACCAAAGCGGAATCAGCAGGGTTGGTTACGAGGTGTACGGAGCGCGCTCAAAGCAAAGAGTTCTGTTTGCAACGCGTCAAACTCAGACGTGATGCTGTCTTCAAATCGATAATACAATCTTTCAAGCCAACAGACAAAAGTAAACTATTTTTATTTCCTAAAAAACCTGTCCTCAAATTTGGACTGTTTCTGTGTTTAAGTGGCAATTTGGATTGTCATCTGGCGGCACGACTAGAACATTTTTAATCAAAGAAGTTTTCAGACAACTTCAAAAGTGTAATTTTGAATATATTAAATGCTTGTGAATTGGCACGCTCGGCTTCGTCTGCTCCATTACTTTGTCTCATTGACTCAGCCATTAACAAACAGGAAGGGACGGCCATTATCTGAAATGTGACAAGACTTTTTTTTTTTAGTCGCCGTCATTATCCCACAAACAGACAAATGCCTCGTAAATTCTCCTCTAACTCCCTCTCAGCGCTGCGGCCTGCCAATAAACTTCTGCAAACTATTAATTCAGCTCATGAACAGCCTCTTTTATGAGCTCCACAGTTCACTGAAGAGGCACCGTGTCAGGGTTTGTGGCGTGCCAGACTGTTACGGAAGACAGGCAACCTTTTGGAAGCCAAGCGTCCGGGCCAAGTTTCCCTCAGTCAGCAGCGAAGACGGCGCGAAGTCTCGCTTTAATAGGAGTAACATGTTATTCTTTACGGACGATTGATCGCATTAAATCTTTGGCGCAGCACTGAAGCACTTAAATGGCCAAACCGGGGTGACTCACTGGATTCAATTTGCATAATACAGGCTGAATTTTATGTCTTCAAATGTAATGTCACTGCAGGATCACTCACACTCTTAGCTCAGGTGTTTTTTTAAAACTTTAGCTGCATTCAGGTGGAGGTCACCGTGTGGCAGCTCTGCTGTGGTGTTAGGGAGGCAGACAGAGAATCAGAGGAATAAAACAATCAATCCTCTTGCTCTGCATCTGTCCAGCAGCTGGGGGAATAATTTAGACTCGGATGCATTTGTGTAATATCACATAAGGCCGCGCAGTAATATTGCATAACACCACGACAGCTACTACCACTAATAACGCCGTGTAATAAAACCCACATCCCAGCATGAAGGGGAAACACCGTCAGTGATTCTACTCTTATGAAAATCTTGCTTTTGGTGCACAGAACACAGACATTTACTTCCCAGCGGGCGTTCTGAAAACAATTAAAGATTTATAAGCACGGGTGATAAATTATAAATCTACGGTGGGGATGACTGGGGAAGGTAGAGCGGCGGTATGGATGGAGTGGAACACCTTCTGAATAATGAATCGGCCCTGCCGAGGCCTGACGCAGAGGGTGGTGTTATTAGCTGTGTTTTCAGAGGAGGACCGACTCCTCTGATGTTGGTCTTTGCCGCACGTTTGAACTGTCGCAGCAGCAGAAGGATTGTTTGTTTGTCTGTGTGGAACATGTCGCCAAAACAAATCCCAAAGAAGTAACGCCGTCTTTCACACTCAGATCTCTGGAGCCGTCCGTACGAGCTCGGACCCACGCTGCAGGGTCGATCCATCAGCATGAAAGTTTCATCGCGGTTCGCGTTACACAACCGATGGGCAATATCGTCCTCATTTCGAATTCATGCAACTCAACGTGAAAAAAAAAACAGCAGAAGAATTCCAGCGTGTTGATTCGGCAGCAAATTCTGCTGAGTAAAAGCTTTGTTGTTGTTTGCTTCTGGTTTTGAACTGACTCGACAAGCGCGTGATGCAACGACTGTGAAACACTTCTTTGAAAGAAAGCCGCACAAGTAAGTCGACGCCCGGCTTCCTCTCTTACTCCTGATGTAAGAGGCTCTTCGGTCGCAGGCTGTGAAATGTTGAACAGACGTCAGAAAACCTCGGTGACCCCCTATCGACAAAACGGGGCTTAGTTCAACCATGAATAACAAAAAAAAAAAGTCTAAATAAATTGCTTCCATTTACAACAAATTGCCACGCAGCTGAGTAAATACTGGCCCCTAGCCATGCAATCACGGAACCAGCGGGGTGTCAAATTTGCATTTACAACGAGTCATATTTGTAGATGCAACCAGCGCGAAGCAACAGCGGCAAGACCGAACTTCTCTGAATACTGATGTGCCCCGAAAGTGTCCGAGCGACACTCACACATGCGCCGCAGTAATTGCTGCAGAAGCTAACAAGCCAGTCGGGGTGTGATGCAATCAGACACTTGATTGTGTGATGAGCCAAGGTCATCGAAAAAGAACAACGAAGTGGTAATCATACAGGGAGGGAGTCTGCTGGCATTGGCCGGCTGGACCTCGTTCCTGCTCTCTGATTAGCGGTGGAGCCAAATGTCTGGCAAATCACTGTAATTACAACCCATCTCTGTGTATTCGTCTGCTATAAAAGAAGTCTTATCACAGATCCTGCTGGAGGCTTGCCGCACACACACACACACACACACACACACACACACACACACGCACACACACACACACACACACACACACACACACACCAACTCACAATGGATTTCATTGGCGATTTAAGTCATTTTGGTGCTTTTGTGTTTCCCAGCAGTCTCCAAATGGGTGTGCAACGCTGCTGCCCTTGTAGCTCCCCAGAGCTGTGTTGGAGTCCATGAGATATATTCATATATGCAACATGACAGAGCTTGATTGGTCTCTGATGCTTTCATTAACAGAGCTGTGAGTCTGCGAACTCTGCTGCTCGCGGGGCCGAGCAAAGTTTAAAGATGCTTTTGTGAGCTCATTTTCAGGCGAGTCAGGTTCAGCAAAACTGCCCCTCGGCACCTTCCCCACTCTGTCTTCTTCTCCAAAAAAACAAAAAAAAAAAACCTCGGCTTAGTCAACGATCATTGAGGATTCAACTCTGCTTAAAAACCAAATCATGTCCGCGCACACTCACACACACTGCAGCGCACAACGCCGCTATAACTTGCAGATATCCTTTCATCCGTCTCCGCACACTCCAGCCCCCAAGAATGTTTGGCAGCGGGTTTTGTTTTTAGCTGAGTGTGAATTATTCTAGTGAATGAAGGGGAGAACGGCGTCGGGGGGGAGCTTCCTCCAGAGGGTGGCTGACAGCCTCGTCAGGAATTCTGCAGACACACACACACACACACACACTAACTCAGCCAAAACATGCCCAGGGGGGAATAGATTTGACCTTTTCGACGCGGATAACTCCTCATTCATGGCACACGAGCAGGTGCATTGCTAATCATTCCTCCTCCTCACCCCTCCAGGCTACTTTCTCACAGACATTTAAATATTCTGTCAGAATGCAGAGCGATTTGAACCACTTGGAGATAACGCGGGTCAGGTTTGGAACTTGGAAAACTTGGTTGAACTGAGTATTTCTGTTCCTCCATCTGTCTCGCCATCTAAACATGTTGTAAACCAGCTGAAGCACACTCCGTCCTTGCTTGACCCTCCTTTTGCAGCCCTGCAGCCCCGTATCGAGTCGTCCACCTTTGCCTCAGCGCTCCAGCCTTTGCTTGCCTCTCTGTGGCACGCTCCCAGACAGCACAGGTGTGTGTGGGCTTGCCCAGATGGCCGTGTTGTTGAGGCTGAGGGGAGGCAGCCAAGTAGCCGACTGGTCATCCACCGGACATGCAAAACCTTTTCTGACACTAACTGAGAGGAGAACTTTAGGCAGAAGCGTTTCCTGGAAAGTGTGGACTTCTAAGAACCCCCTGAAGCTCACCTGGACCAAAGTTTGGGTTTGATAGCAGGTCATGTGACGCCCTTCTTCTTCCTTTCAGTTTTTTTTTGTGGAGGCTACTGACAGCCGAGATTGCTTTTGCTAAAGCATCTAAATTTGCAATAATTAACAACATTTACAGCTGCTGTTATGGTGCTGCATGGCTGATGCCCTTGTTACACACTGACAGATGCATGTGGCTCCAGATGGCAGCAAACTGAGATATATGAGTGTTTTAA